GGTAGTAGTTAGTAGTTAGTAGTAGGTAGTAGGTAGTAGTTAGTAGTAGTAGTAGTAGTAGTAGTAGTAGTAATAGCAGTAGCAGTAGTAGTAGTAGTAGTTGTTGTTGTAGTTGTTGTTGTAGTTGTTGTAGTTGTAGTTGTAGTTGTAGTAGTAGTAGTAGTAGTAGTGGTTGTTGTTGTTGTTGTTGTTGTCGTTGTTGTTGTTGTTGTGTCAGTGGTAGTCTCAGCAACAGCAGCTTCCGCAGCTGCAGTGCTATCCTCGTCCATGGTCAAGGCCTGCCAGAGCTAGTCAAGCCGGGCATGCAAGGAAGAATGTTCCAAGGCAAGTGACGTGGCAGTCACCAAGATGCACGCGACCAGCGATGTGGCGCAAGCATCTGCAGCACCAAATGAAGCCGAGCAAGCGAAGGCGGCAGGAGAACCCCCGCAGCTTGAAAGCCCAGGGGTGGAAGCCCAGGGCGAAGCTGGGACCTTTGACTGAAGCTAAGCATACCCGCAGTGCGACGCCTTTGCTAGCGAGGGTTCTTTCGCATATCCGCTTCATGCCAAGGACCGGCGGACCGACTACATCTAGGGAAGCTGAAGTAGAAGAAGCAGATTTGGATTGTTTTCTGGTCCATATTGAGTGCAAGAACATCACGCAGCAGCTCGGACAGCTTCAGTGGGCGATTTGGTACGTCATGGGTTATGAACTAACTAAACGTTGCAGCAGCATGAAAAGTGTGCTCTGATACGTGTACTGACGTTCTTGAAGTGATGGCATGCGACAGAGCACGGATCGTATCAGTCGATGCCCGTGTTGCATGTCTCTGAATCCCATGGAAGTCATCAAAGGTGTGCTCCGGAATTGAGAAGGAGAAGCAAATCCAAGAAGTCACGGCAGACCAGTCGGAGCAGCAGCTGAGTCGCCAAAAAGCCACAGGTCGTACAGGAGCCTCTTTTTCAAGTCTTCGGCACATGAACTCCAGATGCATGCAACTTTGGCATGCTTTCAAAGTAGTCTGAACCGCTACATTTTTCCTCTCGCACCTTGCACGGGCTCGAGCCGAAGCACTGTGCACATTCAGGCCAAGTGAAGGTGGTCGACACGGAGCTGTTTTCCCAACGTGAGGCAGCCGCCGGCATCTAGTCATAGGGCCCGCTCCGGCAGGTGATTGCTTGAATCTATTGCATCGTCGGCTTTCGGATCCTTTCTGCTTGGTGGCATGCGCATGCAGCAGCACCCTGTGTGGCAGCACATAGTTCCGATGATGTGTTCAGCTTGTAAGTGAAACAGGAGAAGTCTCGCCTGTGGACTCAGCCTTTGCCTTGTGGGCACAGGGGTCGGGAGTAGCGCCTGTGACCTCTCAACATGGCTACGGCGGGGTCTCGTCATTCTCTCGAGACTCACTTCACTACACCTAGCTAGGAAACTCGCTGTTAGTTTGGCATTTGGGTGCGCTATTAAGGCAGTTAAGGCTTGAGAGTGTTCAGTCGACATTTAGGCATTCGCTGTGCTCTGGCACATCCCAAACCAGACTTGTCAGCATCACTAGCTCGCCAACGAGCCCGAGGCTAGAAACCGAGATCCAGCGCCTCGAGTGCTGGCCTTACGTAGCTGTCGGGCGGTCAAATTCCGAAAATCTCTTTTGCATGATGATCATGTTATCAAGCACGCTGTTCCTTCATGCCTCTCTTGTTTCGCAGGACTTATTTGATCTGGCCTCTTCAACCGCAGAATCAACTTCCAGAGGGCCAGTCATTCCTCTAGCGGGCTCCAAGGAAAGATGCTGTAGCCACAGGGGGGCCGTTTCTGTGCGAGGGGCGATTCATGGCTGCTTTGGCGGAGAAGAAAGATGTTATGGATGACACACCTCGCCGGTGGCAACTTGATGGCACGGAGGCTCAGATGGAGAAAGTCCTGTTCAAAGCAGACGAGGACACCGCTTCAGAATACCTGAAGGACCTGATCAGCTCCGTGGGCCTCAAGGATGCATGGGGTGAGATGGCCAAGAAGTTCCGTTCTGTGCAGGCGCAGCATGCCCAGCTCATGTCTCTGGCAAGCCGAGATGCCCTGAACCGGGATTTTGTAACGCGGCCGGAGTTCAGGCTCACAGTGCAGGAGGAACACTACCGGAAGCTGCAGGACCACACGAAACGCCTATCAGCCCTCGAGCAGCAGGTGCAAGAAGAGCAGACAAAGAGGCTGGAGCTTACGGAGGCCTTGCAAGAATACGCAGAGAGAACCGATCGGGAGCTCAAGACCTTGAAGCCAGAGGTTACCAAAGCCCATGCCTGGCTCCAGACACTGGATCAAAGGTGCCAGGAGCAGAACACGGCAAACCTGAAAGCCTTTGAAGATTTGCAGGAGCAGCTGAACAGCCGTGAGAAGAAGCTCCGAGAGGAGGCAACGAAGCTCTCGAAAGCCCTCGAGGGAGAAGTTGTGGAACGCAAGGTCTTGGGCATCGAAGTCAAGAAACAGAAAGAGTTCTTGGCAGGAGAAGCCTTCCAAAAGCACATGGAGGATACGTGTAACAAAGCACTGGCCAACTATGTCCACAGGGATGTAATGATGTCAGAGGTTCAGAGCTCCACGGAACATATGTGTCAGCCTCTACATGTTCTCATAGGCAAGCTGGAGAAGACTGTGCAGACCTTGGCCCAAGAGCTGCGAATGAAGGATGCGTACCTGGAGCAATGCCTTGAGAACGAGGCTGCTAAGCTGTCCCACAAGGACGAACTCCTGAACGAGCGAATAGACGCCGTGGTGGACGAACTGCCTGAGAAGGCTACCGTCGTGTCCGTGGACGATGTGAAAGGCAAGCTCTTGTTTCATGTGGACAATCTGGAATCTCTGCACACGCGATTGCAGAAAGAGGCCACGCACAAGCTCCAGGAGGTGGTCACCCGCGTCTCTGAATTCCAAGTGATCCTCCAGGACCATGAGCATGCACTGCAGCATGCTGCCGAGGAGATCCTGCATCGTGGAACCAAGCTCCTTGGCAGAATGGGCGAATGGCGAATGAATGGCGAATGTGGGATAGTATATACCCAGTTTTTCTTGTGCTTGATGTTCGACGAGGTACGATGTAGCGGTATTGACCGAGCGAGTGGATCGCTGTGCTGGCAAAGACAAGATGGAGGGTGACCTGAAAGAGATCCGTGACACACTGACATGGCAGAGCACCAAGAGACCTCGATGCAAATAGGTTACGACAGGAGATATTGGAGACTCTTGAAAGGCTGAGGGAAGGCATATTTTCGGCCCCAAAATTAGAAGGAGGAAGCAAGGCAAAGCAATCCCCCCGCGGCCCCACCACCTACTGTAGAAGCACAGAGCGAGAAGTTGGCAGGAGAACAGAACACCGTCTGCTCTTGGATAGAATACCCGGTTGTTCTACTAGTTTGCGCATCCGTGCCGTTTCTCAAGGATCGAGTCCATGCAGTTCCAGAACGGACTGGGCGCCCTGGTGTCAAGAGATACAGTATGGTGTTTCCATAACACGATTGTGCACGACATGCATGATATTATTTGCGTGCGCTGCGCGTACGTTCTGACTCTCACTCTTCTCAAAAAAACCTGTCGCCAATGGCACGGGTGTGCTTTTCAGCCCGATGAGCTTGGATGGCTCCCTACGCCCGAGAGACAGAGAGACGGAGAGACAGGGAGGCGCGGGCAGGGGGGGCAACCCCTCTGCCTCTAGCCCTGCCGAAAGAAAGAGAGAGAGAGAGAGAACCTAATCAATATATGGTGCAGCGTCGCCCGACCCCCCCCCTCCCCCCCCATGGTTACCCCCCCTTATGGGCCCTATTATGCTGCCTTCCCCCCCGCCCCCCTGTGGAGTGGGTGGTGTGGGTGGTGGGGTTGTTTACGTGGGTTGTTTAACCCCCGCTCATCCCCGGTGGTGTGGTGGTGGGTGGTGGGGATTAGGGTTTAGGTGTATAGATATGAAAGGGTTTAGGGTTGAGGGTCAGCAGCTGGGCGCGGCGCAGACCGAAACCGTGGCCAATCCAGGTGAGTGTCGCCACTTTGGACACGCCACGAAGTTGCATAGCTTCAAAAGTCACAACAC